AGACTCGCTTGAGCCCAGGAGTTGGAGGTTGCTGTGAGCTGTAATGCCACGGCACTCTGCCCAGGGGGACAGCTTGAGGCTCTGTCTCAAAAAAATAAATAAATAAAAGACACTTGTTATTTTCAGCACAGGCAGAGGTTGGGAGCAGATGTGGGTAAGCCCAGGTTGCACCGGCCCAGCATAGCTCCCCTGAGACCAAGAAGTTAAAGAACTGAAAAGAAGCTGTACTGCTTTAAGGGAAGACAGCCTTGCCGCCCTCAGGTGGAGGCATTTCCGGGCCCTGAGATAAGGCTTAGCTGGGGACGCTCCTCACACATTCCGGAGGGAGGGCCTTCTTGTCAGCATGGTAAGTGGCTCTGGGACGGGCCCCTTGCTGACAGCTGATGTGGTGGGACCTGTCTACCAGCAAACAATTCCTAGTCAGCTTTAATCCGTGTACCTACCTGGGAAGTAGATGGGTTCTCCTCTATTCACCTGTGGATTTGCTTTCTTTAAAGTAAAGCTTTGTTGCTTTGCTGTCAGTGTCTAACTTTAACTCAAGTGCCGAAGAACAGTTAGTGTTTACCTTTAGTTTTTACCTTTGTTTTCGGCCTGGTGTGCGGATTTTTCTGTAGAAATCAATTGCTCTCCTCTCAGTTACGCTGTTAGAGTTTCTGGGCACTTGAGACTCAGGTTACAGCTGCCAACCTCAGACGCTCCTCGCAGGGCAAAGTGCACAGGACCTTTATCCTCTCTTAAGTTCATTCTCAGAGCATGATAGCGAATGTGATTTCTTATGATAATTCTGCTTTGGAACTACTTTTTAAGATCTGCTTCCCTTTTATTCTCTTCTGTGCCAGTTATTTCCAGTATCTTAATATTTTTCATGCTTACATGGAAGTAGCCTTTCAACTTCTTGCTCCATTGGGCTCTCTGTCTCACAATTGAAGGATGTTCAAATTGCTTTGCTTTTAAAAATTAAGCCTTTCATCATGAACAGTACTTAAGGTAGTGAAGTGCTCTGTGTCTTGACTAAATCAGCATCAGCGTTCTGGGGGTAGAGGGGTGCAAGATATTTCCCTGGGGGCCGATGGTGAAGGGGACCTAGGCCCTTCCTGTGTTGTTTCTTACAACTGTGCGTGATGTACAAAGCTCTTAACATGAAAAGATTAATTTAAAAATTATGCCATCCTCGTAATTTGAGTAAGCCTTGCAGCAGCGTTCAATAATGTGTTTGATCCGTGTTGGCCTTCATTGAGAATTTTACAATCTTACGCTATTTGATAGTGTAACTAATATCGTAATAGAGAGTTTGGATAAGAGGGAGGGGCTAAGAGAAGAATAAGGTGAAAACAGTTTTCTATATCCCTCGACACACAGGTTATAAATTCAGCTGCTCCTAAAAACAGGAAGGCTTATTGGGGTCGTGTTTTTCCTGCTGAGTTCCGGAAGAAGAGTATCACTCTGATGCCTGGACCCCTCGGACAACAGATCACATGAAGAAGGGAATTTTTTTTTTTTTAAGTTAGTGATTATTTTTCCTGTGACTGTTGTAAGCAAATTCCAACACATACCCTCACGTTTACTGGTCAGTAGAGTACAGGACTCGGTGGTAGGCTGCTGGGAAAGGGAGTTATGGAGAGAAACCTATGTGTAAACTTTACAAAAGATTTCATGAGGTAGACACCTCCTCTGCCCTTTTTAAGATTTTCACCGAAATTTAGGCACCTTGTTGACCTGACCACAGTAGCTAAGGTATCTTTAGCATATTAAGTCCAGCCGGAGGGGAGAGACATAAACCTGCTTTGCGGATAAGGGTACCACTCAAAGAAGCCTGTTTATAATGGAATGTGTTGCTTGGGTCGTCAGGCACCCGGTAGAGGCTGGAATATTAGCTGGTACTGAGCAAAGTGCCTTCTCAATTAAGTTTGTGCCTTTTGTCATGAGAAACTGACTGTTACTCAGAGAAGAAAAACTGTGGATATTCTGCTAACGTAGTGAACTGCTTTTTCATGAAGCAAGGACTGCTGAGTTGTGCCTGGTGAATCACAGAGACCAAGTGCAAAGGGTTTGCCACCCTGGGTGGGAACAGAGTCCAAGGCAGAGTGCAGGGGTGTGGCCAGCCAGAGCTCCCTCCAGGCATTGATTAGTGGTCTGGGGACCATAGGCCTGCAAAGATATTGCTGTGGCCTGAGGTCTTTGTGTATTTATTTATTTATTTATTTATTTTTCAGACAGAGTCTCACTATGTTGTCCTCAGTAGAGTGCCGTGGCGTATCTCACAGCAACCTCTAACTCTTGGGCTCAAGTGATTCTCTTGCCTCAGCCTCCGCAGTAGCTGGTACTGGAGGTGCTGCCACAACACCCGGCTATTTTTAGAGGTGGGGTCTAGCTTTGGCTCAGACTGGTCTCTGAACCTGTGAGCTCAAGCGGTCCACCTGCTTTGGCTTCCCAGAGTGCTGGGATTACAGGCATGAGCTACCGGCCTGGCCTGGTCTTTCTGTACTTGAATCTCAGGCTTTGAGGCAGTGCAGCCTTGGAGGAGGACAGAGTTACCCCTTAGCTTATCTGGTCAGTGCTTGTGGTGCTTGAAGGTTTCAAATGACATAGAAGACCGTGAATCTCGCTCTGGCAACAGCCATAATAATATTAAAATCAGCTGCTGTCATTTTAGATTTTAAGGATTTAACTCACTCTTTCTCCCAAAGGATTAGATCAGGGGTTCTCAACCTGTGGGTCACAACTCCTTCGGGAGAGGGGGGGTCTCCTGCATATCAGATATTTACATTACAATATGGCAAAATTGCAGTTGTGAAGTAGCAACGAAAATAATTTTATGGTTAGGGGTCACCACAACATGAGGAACTGTATTAAAGCATCGCGGCCTTAGGAAGGTTGAGAACCATTGGAGTAGATCATTGTGTCCATTTAAATTACCAAAATAATTCTTTGAGTCATAATACTCAAGGCACGTTCAACTTCTGCAATTACAAGAGGTGCTCAAACATGTATTTTGTTATCAGTATATATTATTACAATTTTAATATAGTTTTTTCTTTCCTAAAACATGTATTCCTTTTTTGGCACCCTCTATGTGTGTATGTATGTGTATAATTTGAACTCAGTTCTTATCCTTGTATGGTCTAGATGCTTAACTTATGCTGTTGAAATAAGCTTTTTAGTGGGATTTAAGGCCTGGGTTTAATTGTCCTTGAAGCTCAGCTGCACCCTGGTGTTTGGTTTCCACGAAACAGTTTTGATTATCTTCTAATAAATTTCTCTTAGGCTGGCCTTTCGCTAGCCTGACTACCGTCATTTGTAACCAGACATGTGAGGTGACCTAGCTCCACACGTCAGATCCCCTGGCTTGTTCTCACTCGCTCCCTTTGATTTCAGAGGGAGTGCCTCTCCATTCACATCGGTCAGGCTGGCATCCAGATTGGGGACGCTTGCTGGGAACTCTATTGCCTGGAACATGGAATCCAGCCCGATGGCATCATTCTCAACAGTAAACAGGATCAGCTGGAAAATGCCAAGATGGGGCCTGTGAATGCATCTTTCGAAACTTTCTTTTGTGAGACGAGAGCGGGGAAGCTTGTGCCCAGGGCCCTCTTCATGGACTTGGAACCAACTGTGATAGGTAATATCACTTTTACATCCTAGGGAACTTAATCGGGTCCGCACTCAAAGCAAACCAACCAAGTGGGCAGGATTGTCAGATGATTTTAATCCTTCGGAACAGGATCTTATGGGCCTTTTCCAAATTTAGAGGTTTGCACACAGGCCGTGTAGGGTGATTGGCGTGGCAAACATATCGAAGAAAACACAGGGTTAGCTTTCTTTTCTTGTGTGATGAAATCATTTAATACCTTGTTATTTGATCTGCACTGGTACGGTAACAGAACACTAAATCTTCTCCTGGGTTTGAGAACCATTTACTGGAAGCTGCTGGCAAGGAATCTAAAAATGTGGCATTATCTGCTTAACAAGAGTAGAATATCTGAAAATGATCCCCGAAGAAGCAAGAAGCCAAATATTCTAATTGTGGGGAAAACCAGTAGTTTTGTGGTTATTAGTGGCAGATTTTGTGTAAAAAATGGAAGCCAGACAAATATTGGAGAGAGAAGGACCTCTTCCCTTGAAGGGAAGAGCTGGTGAGGAAGGCAGATTTGGGTTTGATGCTGTGAATCAGTTATTTTTGGCCATGTAATAAACTACCCCCAAACTTAGTGGTTTAAGGCAATAATGATCACTATTTTATTCACAAATGTGCAATTTGAATTGACTCAGAAGGAACAAGCTCCTCTTGGCGCTGGGTGGTACCACTGAGGAGGGCTTAAGCAGGAGCTGTGGTGGGTCCACTGGGGAAGTGATTCACTCCCCTGGGTGGGGCCTTGGTCCCTCTTGACATGGGCCTCTCTCTCTATGCCTTGCTTGGGCTTCCTCACAGCATGGCAGGTAGATTCCACGAGAACAAGGTAGATGTCCATGCATTTTTTTTTTTTTTTTTTTGAGACGGAG